TTCAAGTTTTGTGCAAAAACGCATGATCGCTCCGGCTCGCCTGGTGCGTTCCAGCCTAGGTTGCCCCAAAAACGGCTTGAAATACTCGTACGCGTGAAACAGATGTAAATAAGCGCTCATTTTATGCTTACAAACCCACACGCGTACAGCAAATATTCGCGTAAAATTAGAGGGACCTAGTAAGCTTAGTTCCCGGGTTGACATTTATGACATACATATACGTTCGAGCTGAATTTAAAATCTTTAGCTCATATAAGGCCACAGAATATGTTTGCGAAGTTTCAGGTTTCCTGCTTGCCTGATTCCTGAAACTCTTTTCTGACAAAAAATTTGCACAAACTTTTTAAGGAGTCTATAAGTGATCTCCAAGCGTAGAAGAATGATGATTTTAGAAAATGCGCATCGTAAATGGAGTGGGGCACGCTCCAGAAATTTCAGCTTCTTGGCTTCACCGCTTAAGGAGCCGAAAGTGGGTAACAGAAATGCGAACACACACACTGGCAAACTCTCGTCAGTTTGCGTTTTTGAAAACACACAAATGCACGAAATCGCGTAAAAATGGCAGTCCCTTTCCACATCAAATTCAGTAAGCGGTGAAGAAAGTGCCCTTTCTCCTACGATTTTTGAGAATATGAATCAGTGTAACCTATCGGACACAACTGTGTGTTCAGGCCCCTCTTCCCTTCCCTCTTCATTCAACTCTTATTCTTCATCTCTGTCTGGAGTTAAATTCTGCACGGGAACAAAGATAAATAAATCAGCAACTTGTCCGCATTCAGTGGAAAACAGCTTCAATATTCCTGCTTAGAAAACAGCTTCGAGTGAATGTATAAAAAGGCGTGGATTCACTTTAGAAGAATTAACCTAAGTAAACAGGTAGTTAAAATGCAAAACATACTTATCGCCATAATTACAACGGCCGCATTCCATCCATGACCTACACAGCTCGGTTTTATACAATTTCGTGTTCTTGAGATAGGTGGACAATGTACCTTTCACACCTATAATCAAAATCTGATTAAAAATCTTTTGACAGAGCCTCAATTCTGTTAACAAAAAACACTTGAAAAGCAATCATTTGACGAAGTACTACTTGTAGAGTGACAAATCGGGTTTTATTCACATGATCGACTGCAGCAGCAGCAGCAGCATTTCCTTAAAGGATCGCAAGGGCAAAGTACACTCATTTTTGAGGTTGAGATAGGATCGAGCATTTGTCATGTCCATGTGCAGAGAATTTAGCTCCCAAACTGGATTTAGACTACACATGGATATAGAATACCCTTAAAAATTTCAACTTCTCAGCCTGCCCGGTACCCGAATCGCTATTCCGCTACAGATATTTTTGGCATATTCTAAGGCGTGGTGCAAGTGCAATTCGAGACCACATTTAGCCATATGAATCCCCAGATGGTCGACATATATTCTGGCAAAATCACAGCTATCGCTTTTTAGTTAATCCTCGAGTTGGTATGGTCCAACTGTGAGTTTTGACGTGACTATATACGTGACGCAAGCATGCGTGACAGCTGGACTTGAAATTTTTAGCTCACATATGGGACAAAGAATGCTTCTGCAAAGTCCCAGCTTATTACGTCTGCCAGTTCAAAAAGTTGCTTCTAGCCAAAAAATTTACTTTTTCATGCACATCGGATGGGAAGATACTTTTCCCATCAAAGAAATATGCATATTTCTTCGAGGGCCTGAACACGGGATCTAGGCGCGTATGAGCGAAAATTTTAAAACGGGAGAATGACAGCCCCCCTCCCCCGTCGTAACATTGCCGTGCCAGTACATGAGGTTTAGGCGTTTGTTGAAGCTGAATTTAAAACCCTTAGCCCAAACCTAGACGAAGAATACCTCTGTGAAATTTCAACTTTCTATCTTGTCTGGTTTCCGAGATCGTCTTCCCGCCAAAAAATTTACATGCTTTTTTGAGGCATACGTACGTGGGGCTCAACTGTATCATGAATGATAGTATTAAAACGGGGAGGTCGGATATGGGGGCCGGGGGAGGGGGGCACCTGCTCCCGAAGTTTCAACTTCCTAACTTCTCTGGTTCTCGAGTTGAAAGGTGGCGACAGAAGCTGCGAACACACAGACATATACACAGACGACCTCGTGCCAACAAGCATTTTTGCAATTTTGTAACATGCAAAAACGCATAAAAGACGCAAAATTCATAAGAAGGAAGTTAAACACAGGCTGCAACGGAACAGACTTACCAGCGCGATCATGTATTTTTGTGCTGAACTTGAAGTAGCCAGCTCGGTAACAATATGAATCCTTGTTGTTTTACATTTAACATTCACACTCATTACCGTAAATTTTGCATAAAGGAAAACGAAGTATGTACTAATGAGCCAAAATCCAACCCCCAGGTAGTCGTGGTACCCGCGTACGGGCCCGCCAAAATACCCGCGTACGGGCCCGCCACCTTTGGTATGAATGCGACAATGAGTGGATGGTTAAGTAAAGGCAGCCCAGGAATGCAAAGAACACTCTCTCGTCAACGAGTACCCGCAGAGCCAGCAATCTGATCAGTGAATATCAAGACATATCAAGACACTGGTCAAATTGCTGGCTCTGCGGATACTCGTTGATGAGAGAGTGTTCTTTGCATCCCTGGCTACCTTTACTTCACTATCCACTCATTGTCGCATTCATACCGAAGGTATGTGGTAACCGACATCCAACGCTAAAGAACGGCATATTCTTCAAAATACAGTAACCTTTGTTATCAAACGGTTACCGTTTTCATCAAACACTTGCAAACGAATGCTGATACTCAGAATTCATAATTTATCTCAATTTGTCACGAATGATTTATGACGAAAGTGCTTGTTCGTTGCAGGGCGCTCTGCTTTCGTACATTTTATAAAATGCGAACAGTTTCATCATTCTGTTTGTTCAGAAACACTCGATTAGCTT